TAGATGCCTTTTACTGGGGTTCAGGAAGTTCTACTTTTTCCTGATTGGATGAGAACTCATATGAAGAATAGGTACTCAATTTTGCCAAATGATTTTCTGCAGCTATTGACAAAATTGTGTTTCTCTTTAAAATTATTGACTGCATTGATTGGTTTTAGGATATTTTGCATATATCTAACTTTGCATATATCATATAAATGTTTCTTGGATATGAGGTTCTTTCCTTTTTTCTATATTAATAGATCAAATTGGTATAATTTCATGAAAAGTTTGCTTCTATATTCAGGAGAAGTGTTGATCTGTAGTTCTTTTTCTTGTGTTTTTCTTGTAAGATCTTGTGTGGATTTGGTATCAGTGCAATGCTGTTTGGGAAGTGTTCCTTCCTTTTCTATTTCCGGGAAGAGATTGGCTGGATTAGCATTATTTCTTCTTTAAATAATTTGCATCATCCACAAGGGAAAAATATCCAACCTGGAGAATTCTTTTCCAGTAGGTTTAAAACTAAAATTTATATTACATTTACATTTAAAGAAGTATTCAGTGTATTTCATTTTGGATATGTTTTGATGGTTTATGGGAGTTGAAGAATTGGTCTACTTTAAGTTGGTGAATCTATGTGCATGAAGTTGTTTCTAGTATTTCCTGTATTAAACTTATAAAGTCTGTAAGGTCTACCGTGAAATTCCTTTTTCCATTTGAAATACTGGAGTTGGGAAGTGTTTATTCCTCTTACATTTTTGGAAAGAGTATTTTAGAATTGCTTTATTTCTTCTCTATATGTTTGGAGAAATGTATTTAACAGTAATGCCACCTGGGTCTTTGTTTTGCCATTGTTTTCTGTGGCAGTGATTTGTTTTGATTGTTTTTGTTTTTTAGAGGGAGTAGTAATGAATTCAACTTTTTAGTATAGACACAGGCCTATTCAGAATATCTAATTTTTAAGTAGTATAGCTAATTACTTCTTTTAATGAATATTTCCATATTTTATGTGTTCTCTATATTCTTAGTATGTTTATTACAATCATTCATTATCTTTTTAGTGTCTGTGTAATCTAAGTGATCTCTTATTTCTGATCTTAATCATTATTCTTCATTCCTTGCTCCTGATAATAACTAACTTTACTGATCTATTCAAGGACCTAGATTTAATTTCATTGATTATTGTTTTTCTGTTTTAATTCACTCATATTTTTATTCTTACCTTCTATCTGTGTATTTGGTTTTAATTACTCTTTTTTTTAGTTTCCTAAGGTGGGAGGAGAGATCATTAATTATATACCTTTTTTATATTCAATATGAGCATTTAATGTCTGTATATTTCCATCCGTGCTTTGTATTAGCTGTTTCCCATAAAGTTTATTAAGATGTATTTTTATTATCATTCAGTTCAAGAGTTTCTAATTTTGCTAATGTTTTCTTTTTTACTCATGAGCTTTTAAATGTGTTTTGCTCAATTCCCAAATATTCCTAATTTTTCTCATTATTGGTTTAATTATTTATCTTCTGGCTTTCGCTATTTGTGCTAAATTAGCCATCATTCTTTTTATGATTCCTCTCAATGTAACGCACCCTTTTATTTTGGTTCTTTTAAAATATTGTTTCATTACTTTTTTTTTTAGCAGTTTGCCTAGTAATCAACTTATTTACACACTAGCTTAATTTAAAACTCCTTTATTGATAGACATTGGGGTGCTTTTGTGTCCTATTCTATTAAATATAGTACTTCATTGAATAACTCTTTATATAGCTTCTATATTTTTGCCAGTTTGTTTGTGGAAAGATTTTTAGTGCTGATATTTATTGGTCTATAGGTAAATGCACTCTGTTTGGAGAAGATATGGTCAAATTTTCCTTTATATAAGTTTTGCTATTTTTTATTCTTATCACCAATGTGTGGGACTGTCTATTTCCCACATTCTCCCTGACAAATGATGTGTCACCAAATTTAGATTTTTTCTTATCTTACTGATAAGAAATTTTATCTTGGCATCAACACTGTTGTAAATCAAGTGACTTCATATGTGTGGATCTGTAGGCACACATTTTCCCTATTTAATAATAAATGATAACTAATAGTCCAAGTCCTGTGTTTTATTTTGTTTACATTATTTCACTATTTTTAGTCCTTTGAAACTACATATATATTTTGAATCATTTCTACCATTTAAAAACTCACATACATGCACTCACACACTGTCTGGATTTGGAATGAGATTTCACATAGATTAATTTGGGGAGAATTGACATGTTTACAATATTGACTTCTCCGATCTTTGATGATGATGTATGTCTTTGATTTAGAAGTTTTCTTTAAATGCCCTCAATGTTTGTTATTTTCAGCTTTTCTTATGGTATTGCACATATTTTCTTGTGTTTATTCATATGTTCCTGAAACTAGGACACTGCTATGCTTAATAATTCTAATATTTTATGTATCATTGTTTTCTTTTGCATTTTCAGCATATGCAAATGTGCCATGGACAAATAATGAAACCATTGAGTTCATTCCTTTCCATTAATGCCATTTTTACTTTTATTCCTATTACACTGATTAAAGATAGTTTCAAAGGTCATTCTTGATTCATTCAGAAATCATAGGAAATGTTTTCAATATTTCACCATTAAATTCCATTTTTCTCTCATACAGGAAAGAGACTTCAATTTCTGGTTCAGAACTAATATTTTATAAGAATGTCTTGAACTTTATCAAATGTGATTTTCAGCATAATTTTAGATTATTTTGTTTTGAAGTTTTTCTACTTTTTTTCTGTTAATCTTTTAACTTAAACTTATTTCAAATGTTAAGCCAGTCATTAATTACAGAAATAAGACCAATTCAGTTGTGACACATAAATTGTTTATCACTGGATTAGATTTGCTATTTTTTTTTAAGTTTTGCATCTATATTCCTGAAAAAACTTGTCCAGTATTTCTCCAGTCTTTGTCAATTTATGTTGACCTCAAAAAATGATTGGCAATATATTCCTTCATTTTTAAGTCTCTGGAATATTTTTCTTTAAGATTTCTTTATCTTTACAATTTTAGATGAATTCACCATTAACACAATGTAGGTTTGGATATTTCTTTCTGGAAAGGTTTGTACTTACCAATTCATTTAAAAAATGGATACAGAACTTTTAATATTTTCTGATTTTTTTGTATTCACACGTGTTTTTTAAAGAAAAGGTCTTTTTTATCCAAATTTAAATTTACTAACAGAGGAGCTTCTCATAATATGCTCCTATCATTAATGCCTTTAGATTTCATAATGATGTTTCCTCTCTTTTCCTTTGTATATTTGCCTTTGACATTTTTAATTTGCATCTTCTCTCTTTAATTCTTAATTATTTTCTAGAGGTCTCTAGTTTTTCTTAGCTCTTTTCAAAGATTCTTTTCTTGTGCCCTGCTTGTTTCATTGGATCCATTACAATTTACTTTCTAATATATTGCTTTGTTTTCCTAATGATTTCTTCCTTAATGTTTTTGAGATTTTTCTTTTTGTTTTTTATTTTAGCTTATTGAGTTAGAAGCTCAACTCAATAATTTTTCACTTTTTTTTCTAACATTCATTTCAGTATGATGATTTCACATTAACTTGATCTCACAAATTGGAGATACCATTTTAAATTTCTAATTTACATTGTGATTTCCTTTTCTAGCCATGGTTATTTAAAAAGTGCATAATTAAACTTGCAAGCATTACATTATTTCCTAGTTATCCTTACTTGGTATTATTTTTGGTTTAATTCCACTCTGCCAATAGAACATGTTATAAATTATTTTGATCCTTTAAAACTTGTGTAGACTTGCTTTTTTGTGTCTTAGCATATGGTTAATTTTAACAAACACTCCATGTGAACTTTTAAGGAATGTTTACTTTATCATAGGTTGTCAGAGTGTATTAAGTTTATTAGAGAGGAAAATGTCGTTTATATTATGCCAACTATCTATATCCACGCAGATTTACTTTGCTTAGTCCGTGAACTATTGAAAGAGATTGCTTGTCTCCCACTAAGGTTGTAGATTTATCAATTTCTTCTTATTGTCTTGGTAGTTTTTCCTTTATTTATGTTATGCTATGTACTTAGAGGTGCATAAATTTAGAATAGCTGTATCTTCCTGGTCAAGTAACCTTTATATTATGAAATAGCCATCTTAATTTTTAATAACAGTTCTGACCTTTAGGTCTATTTTGTTTGATTCTCATATATATCAAACTGTTTAAGGTCATTGTTTTTGTGATTTTTTTAATCATCCTTTTACTTTTGATTGTTGTGTATTTTATAAGAGACACTGAAAGAGGTGTCTCTTGTAGGAAATATAAACACACAAATACATGATGATTCTTATTTCACTCTGACAATTGTTAAGTGGATTATATAGTTTACTTATATGTAATATGTTTAGATAGTTACATTTTTACCATTTTTTAAAAACGTTTTTTACTTGTTTGATTTTCCTTACAACCTTCTTTTGGACATTAATTTATACCCTTTTACTATTCTTTGAATGTTTACCTTATTACAGCCTGTGCCCTGGATTTCCCACATTCTCTTTATTATGTGTTTTATTTGACAGTGCTAGCACCTTCAGAGAATTTTCTTAGAGTCATTACAGTGGTCCTGTTTTCTTGGATATTGTTACTATACATTTTAATACTATTTCAGCCCTCATAATCATTACCTTTTTAACTTATTTTTTCTTATTTTCCATGTTTCTCTCTGACATAATTTTTCTTCTACCCAAATAACTTACTTCTTTTAGTATGTTTTTAGTGTGCATATGTCTTTCCTTTTTGGCTGTTTTAAAATTTTTCTTTTATTAAGTGGTTCCCAGAAATTTAATTATGATTTCATAAGAGCGCATCCACACAATCTCTTGCCATTTATCCTGCTCTGCTCATTGTGCCAGTGACACACATCCGTTTTGGAAAAATCTTAGCCATTGTCTCTTCTAATATTATTTCTGCCTTTTTCTCTTTCTTTCTATCTTCCAGGACACCAAGGGTGCTAGAACTTTCCCCATGTGCTTTCACATTTGTCTCTCACTCTTTCTGTGTTCTTTGATCTCTTCTGATTTCCATGAGTCTGCTTGCATGTTTTCTATTCAATTATCATTCCTTTGACTAATTCACTTCTCTATTTTGTCAGGTATGTTATTAAACATCAATTAAGTTGTAATTTTGAACTCAGGTCCTCTTATTTATTGTTTTAAGGATTTTGGTTGTATAGTGAATTCAGTATCTTTTTACTTACTCTCTCAAATGTTTTAATCACAGTCATTTATCTATGTTTGGTAGCTATCATTACTCAGATACTTGTGGGCTTCTTTCTATTGTTTCCTTTTTCACTTGACCCTTTGTTGTGTGAGTATATACATATTTATATATATAGACACATACATATTTGAAAGCAGGATATTGGGACACTGAGCAGGAAAAATATGCAGTTTTTAGGTGCTATTATTTTCCCTAGAGGCTTCAGTATATCCACCGCCAGGCACATTAAGTGACAGCGAATAACCTTAATCCCTTAAGGGCCTAAACTCACTCTAAGCCAGTCTATAGTTTTTGCAAGATTTAATTTACTTCTAGTCCATGTAGACTCTTAGGGTGTAACTCTCCAGGGCTTGGATCTAATCCTCTGATATTTTATTGTATCTTCTTGGCACCAGGAGACAGGCAAAAAGGTACCTTTCTCTTTTTGACTATAGTTAGAAAACCTACAGTGTTTAGCTTTTAAGTAAAGTGCTTGTTTATTGATTAAGATATATACTTTATCATGTTAATGATGTGTCCACTAAGTTCTATTTTATTAAGTGTGTTTTTACCATTATGTGTGTTGATAGTTGGCCAGTGCCTTCTCTGCATCTTTAGACATAATCATATAATTTTTCTTTTAAGATTTATTCTTATGTCTTATTTATGACCACATTTATTGCCTTTTCTAATATTGAACTACATTTGCATTCCTGAAATTAACTGCAGTTGTTTATCTTGTATGATGTTTAATTCTATTTGCTTGTGTTATATTTAAGACTTTTTATTTATATTAACAAGTGAAAATGTATTTATAATTTATCTATTTCATGCACTCTACAAGAAAAATGTTATATTCATGTTATAAAGCAAATTTAGAGGTTGTCCTTCTTTTCGCTGCTCTGGAACAGTTTATATAGCATTAAGATTGCCTGATCTTTGAAAACTTGGTAAAATTCATAAATGAAGTAAACTGGGAGTGGTGTTTTTCAGTAGAGGACTTTTTAACAACTTTCCGCATTTCTTCAGAGGTAATTAATCCACTTATATTTCTGTATATAGAGTTTCATTTTGGTAAGTTTTTTAAGAAAATGATCTATTTGATCTAGGTTTAAATTTTCCTTTGGGAGCATGATAGAGTTTGCAAAGAAACTAAATGTGGCATTTGTTTATTAGTTTTAATATCAGTTTTTGAAATATTTTATTTATGCTTTTATTTTATGAGGCTTTATGTCAACTTACTTTCATTTTACTTTGCTGTTATTTTCCTAGTTTTTTGCATTAGTTAATTCATATAATTCAACTTTTGTCTCATTTTTGTTTATGTAAGTATTTTATACTATAACACTTTATACATGTTAACTATGTGCCACAAATTTTTTTATGTCTTGTTTTTATCATCTTTATTTTTAAGTAATTCTAAAATTCCTTTATATTTACCCTTCAACCTAAGAGTTGTTTAATATCATGTTGTTTCCTATTTTTATTTTAACATAAAAAGGCATTTCTTTCTGATTTTCTTTTCTAGTTTTTTCTTATTGTGATCAAAGAATTTTTTTTTGTCTATGCCTTGGAATTTATTGAGATCTTCTTATGAGAAGATTTCCTTGAAAAAAGTGAATGTTCCACATGCACACTAAATGAAAACATTCTCTATTTTTGGCAATAGCATATTTTTAATTGACAGACATTTTATCTAAAAGAAGAGTAATAACTAAAATTTTATTTACCTGGAGAATAGAGCACACCTAATATTATGTCACGTCACAACAGCAGAAGCCAAATGGATTTGATTTTTTATTGAAATATAGTTGGTATATATATAGTTGATATAGTTGAAGTTTAGCTGATATATAATATTATGTGTTTTAGGTGTACAACATAGAGATTCAACAATTATGTACATTACAACTGTTCAACGTGGTACGTGTAGTTACGATCTGTCACCATATGAAGATATTACAATTTATTGACTATAGACCTTGTGCTGTACTTTCATCCCTAAGACTTACTTATTTTATAATTGCACCTCTGTCACCCATCTCCAACCCCTTCCCCACAACCACCAGTTTGTTATCCATGTTTATGAGTCTATATTTCTGTTCTGTTTGTTTGCTTGTTTTATTTTTAGATCCCACATATAATTTGTAATGGAGTTGGGTTTGAACGAACCATGCTGCAGTCTTGGTTGACTTCAATAAAATACGTCGGGTGAATGACGACCTTCCCTTTAACAGAGGCTCAAAGTCTAAAAGCTGGTCTGCAGAAGAGCCTCTGCTTCGTGGCTGAGCCTGCGCCACCTCGGGCTGCCGGAGATGTCTCGGCTTTGTCCCCAGCTGCTCACTCCTGGAGCCCGGGGGATTCTCTTAGCCCTCCGTCCACACCCTCTCCTTTCTCTTGTCTCTTTCAGTTCTGCAGCAGCTGCCTCAGCCCTGGACCTTCTCGGGGCAGCGGCCCGAGCGGCCGTGACAACCTGATGGGCCGTGGAAGGGTTTCTCTCCGCTCCCACAGACTGCCCCAGATTACGGGAATGAAATACCAGAGTGTGAGGAAAGGGAACAACAGTCTCTCAGCTCTTCTGCCTCATTCTCAGCATCCAGCCCAGAATGCAGCTCCTGGATTTCTCAGGTCTGCTCTGATTTCGGACAGGGGACACCTTGCCCCCACTGGAAGCCCCACTCCCCCCAGGGTGCCCTTCCGCTGGCTTTGCTTTTGGGTTACTCCTGAGCGTGCAGTGCATGATCATGGAAAGGAGCTCCTCACTATTACCATCTGTCACACCTGACCACAGGGGATCATTAGCATTTCTTCAGGAGCTCAGCTCATTTCTTCCCTCTCTGACAATGGCAGATTCCTCCTCCTCTTTCACTGGTGTTGGGAGTGAAGGCAGCATAAACCTACTTGTCTCTGGTGAAGGTCTCATTTTTCTGGAATTGAATTCACTGGCTTCTTTGTGTCCTCAGCTCTCAAATTATCCAGCTTGCTGTGGTTGTCAGGATGAGAATGACGGTCTCTTGTCACTTTTTACATCTAAATTGGGTGCCTCTCGTGTTCTTTATATTTTTATCTATTCCATTTTCTCTTTTTCCTTGAAACACTCGCTGTAGTGATTTTTTTTTTGCTATTATGCTTTTTTCTTCTTCAATATCTGTGTTATTTCTTAAACACATTTTTACACTTTTTCTAATCCATATCTAGATTTTGTCAGCTTTCTTGGTAAACCTTCTTTACCCTAATTACATAATTCCTAGTTTTGTATAGAGGTTTGGTTTTGATAAAAGTTTTTTTTTTTTCCCTTAAATAGCCCAATCTGTGGAGATTTAACCCCCTGCTGCAGCCATCATCACAGAATTCTGGGAATTAACATATGTTAAATGTGGTTTCTATTTATATATATTGAATCCTAGTACCATTTATCAAATCCACTCTTTCTCTACTCCTCTTAAATATCAATACTGTCATCTATCAAGGTTTCATATGTACATTGGTCTATTTCTGAGGTTTCTATTTGATTCCACTGATGTCTGCCTGTTCCTTAGCCAGTCTCACAGTTTTAAGTGTATAATATTTTCTATAACAGTAGTAATTCTATAATGTATAGTACTTTCATCAGAAATTAATTGGAGTTTGAATTAATTTTAATTTGGATAGAATTAACATTTTTATAATAGCTATACTTATCAATGGATACTGCATTTCATGATATTTTATTGGCTATAGAATGATAGACATAATTTAAATATAATAATGTTTTCTCCATAAAATTACACACTATTTGTTATATTTAAATGATATATAATCTGCATGTGTGTCAGAAATCATATCTTATTTAAAATTGTATTTCCTAACTTATGTTGCTAGTTGATTGGAGCATAAATTATTTAGTTATATTGTATGTACATTTAGCAATCTTAATGAATTATCTTATTGGCTAATGTTAATGCATGAAATGTTTTTGCTTCTTCTTCTTCTCAATTTTATTCTCACAAAATTTTCTAGGACCTACAGAGAAATGTGGGCTAGAAATGATGATATTGGTTATTCTGGCTTGGTTCCACATTTAAAGAATTTTTAGCCAATATTTCAAAATTAAATATTGTATTTTTACATGCCTTTAATAAATCATCTTTTGGGGTTAAATACCTTCCACTCTATTCCTTGTGTACTAAGTTTGTCTTTTCCTTCCTTCTTGCTTTTTTTGCTTTTGCCTTAAATGGTTGTTAAATCTTATTAAGTTTTATAATCCATTAGACTCATAAAGCAAAAAACTTAGACATTGTTTTCATGTTCTATCTCCAAACCTCAAAATGACACATAGCAACTATTCAGTATGTATCCATTGGTGAATTAATTATTACAACTTTTTTTTTCCTGTCTGTTGAGATGATCATTTATGCCTTTTAAAACTTAATGTGGTGAATTATATTGAGATATTCTAACAAGAATTAGTCCATTTCTTGAGTAAAATTGACTTCATCATGATATATTGCATTTTTTTTATATTGCTGAATTTAATTTCCTAACATATGCTTAGGTATGTTACATCGTTGTTCAAAAGCGAAATGAGACTTTGCTCTTCTGTACCATTCTTATTCAATTTGACACAAAATTATTCTGACAAAATAAAAGGAAATCATACTCTTTCTGAACTCTAAAAGTGTTTATATATGACAGAAATATCTTGCATGTTAACTTCAACATTCCGGAAAAATATCTTGACCTGATTTGTTACATGAATTAATGTTTAATAACAAATAATAATTATGTTTGTATAATGATCTTAAGGTAATTCAAGTGTTGCATTTCTTATGTCATTTTCATATTATGTTTCTAGAAAATTATCCCAGTGGTATAAATTTTCAAACTTACTGATGTAGTTTATCATTTACCCTTATTTTTCTATATAATTGCAATATATATTTATGGACTTTTTCTCTTTTCTGGTGTTATTTTCTTGATTATTTGAATATTTGTCTTTGTGAAATCTTTTAACCACAAGAACTGTAATTCCCAAACCTTTAATTAATAGAAATTTTCCCTACGTCTTTTCTTTAGGAGAAATAGCCAAATATAAAAATATCAATACTGTAAATAAAGCCTTATTGAAGTGAACTACAGTCTTTCTTTCTTTAAAAAATAAAATAGAATTTTCTTCTTAAAGCACAGCCTTGCATCACTTATTTATTTCAATGGAGGCTTGCTCATCTTGAAAAGTAATAAACAAGGACCACTTGCCAGGAAGTGAGATGAATTCCTGGACAGTGTGAGGTTGTTGATAACACTTGGTACATTGCTCTGAGAAGTTCACTGGCAAAGCAAGTCACAGCTGAATTCTTTGAAATGAGTCACTTGTTTACTACATATTGAATACTACTATCATGGTAATTTAAAGTTAAAGGATGTTTGCCCTTTCCATAATCCAATGCACAGATGACAGTGGTCCTGTACCTTTGAACTGTCAAGTTTGTAAGAAAGATGACTTATTTTATCGGACTGGCTTAGCTTAAGTTTTACCTGAAAATAAGCACATAGAAGCTAAGATGCTCTGGTAAGAGCCACTTAATATTCTGGCCCACATTTCCTTTCCTTCCATTACAGTTTCACAGCCAGACCCTCGTTCAATTCTCAGACCTCAGGTCCTGTCTATCAATATAGTCTTATCATTCAATACATATTTATTGATTACCTCCTCTGTGCAGTACTGTGCAGAACATGGAAGTAAATATATAATCATTACTTCCTTCCAGGAACAATAAAGTTTACTTGGTTAGCTTTTCTTAGAATTCCTGTGTTCTCATCTACATACTAAGGTCAAAGAGAATGTCCTAAATTATTGTTTCGACCATACCATGTCCTGAAAATCAGCCTGTAAATAGTCCCCATATCCAACTGAATAAAGGTATCACTTTAAGCAAAATTTTTAATCATCTTTCTTGTTGCTATGTGACTCTTATTGAAAAACAGGTCCTCCATTTTTATAGTAATCAGTAACTATAGTCATATTTTGAAGTTTTCTTATTAAATTCTCAAAGTATTCCCACATTTAATTCTGTGTAATAAAATCCCTGATGAAATAATTTATTTAACCTATAATACACACCTACAAAGTGTTTAATTGTCAGAAAACAGGTACTTACTGCTTAAAATTCTTGTTTGTATAATGGTCTTAAGGCTATTCAAGTGTTACATTTCTTCTTATGTCATTTTCATGTTATGTTTCTAGAAAATTGTCCCACTGGTATACATTTTCAAACTTAGTGATATAAAGTTTATCATTTACCCTTATTTTTCAATATAATTGCAATACATATTTATGGACTTTTTCTAATTTCTGTTGTTATTTTCTTGATTATGGATACAATCCATGCCATTTATAGACAGATATGTGAGAAACAACTATTGTGAATTAATTACAACTGTGATAAATGTTACAAAGGGAAATGCATGGTGCAATGAGAATGACTAATCAAGAAAACTGAACAAATCTGAATGACAGAGAATTATTTCCTGAGGAAATGACATTTAAACTGAAATCCAATGAGTAAGAGTTGCCTGGGTCAAGAAGAATATAACATTGCAGGCAGAGGGAGAAACCCCTGTGATTTATTCAGTAGGAAATTAATCAACTGAAATATTGAATAAAAGGAACTGAGAATTTCCAAGTCATTTTTTTCCCTTTTAAGTAGACTTTATTTTTTAGAACAGTTTTAGATTCACTGCAAAATTGAACAGAAATCCAATTCGATTTTCAATTCAATTTCAAATGTGAACTATTTGATAGTGGGTGGAAATAGTCACTGTAGATTGGATTTTGTGTTCTTTATTAAACATCTAATGTATTTTTTAACTGTTTATTTAGAAAGAGATTCAGAAAAAGTTGCAAAGAGTACAGAGAGGTCAGTGCACACTACATTCAGTTGTCCACAGTGTTTATATCTTTCATAATTATAGTTGAATATAAAAACTAAGAAATTGCCATTGATACAATGTATACAGATGGTTCTCTGATGGCTAATTTTATGTGTCAAGTTGGCTGACACAGTGCCCAGATATTTAGATCTTTTTGTGAGGGTGTTTTTGGATGAGATTAACATTTAAGTTAGTGGACTTTGAGTAAAGCAGATTACCCTCCCTAGTGTAGGTTAGCCTTATCCAATCAGTTGAAGGCAAGAGGGAATTGTGCAGCAGATGGCCTTTAGGCATAAACTGCAATATTGACCCTTCCTGGTTCTCTAGCCTATCTCTGGACTTGAACTGCGACTTTTTCCTTGTGTCCACTATATATATACATATACACCTGTATACATATATATAAAATCATGTGTATATATATAATCATTTATAAATATGTATAATCATGTAGTGCTTTCTTCTTTAATCTGTTAATATAGTTGATTACATGAATTGGATTTTTAAATACCATTACATATAATCCCATCTTGGTCATGGTATATAATCTAAAAAAGCTAAAAATATAAAACCAAAACTTTTAGACCCTTAAAAAAATAAAAAAACGAACACCTGCAAATAAACAAAAATCAAGATCGACACCAAATCTCTCAAAACTACACAGATAATTGAGCAATATCTTCACAGTTTTGAAGCCTTACCTTTCGAACCACACAGGAAATGAAAGATGAATGGATCTCAAATATATGAAAAGATAATCAAGCTCATTCTTAGTGATAGAAGTGTTAGTTAAAACTACATTGAGATACTGCATTTCATGTTCTAGATTGGCAAAGGCAATGTGAATATGCATTGTGTCCAGAGTTAAGAACCTGGAAGGAAAGAGATGTGGTTAGAGAAGTTTAGGCAGCTTTTCAAACACTGTATCAAGAATCAAGGATTTTATTCTACATGCAAGGATGAACAAATAGAGGACTTATAAAAAATTGGAAGATGAAGAAAAGCAAATATACTAGTATTTAATTTGTTGACTACATACAACATGATTCTGCTACCCCAAATTCCAGTGGCTTGATATAATAAACATATTTCCTCAGCAGGTCATATATCCTACTGGGTCAACAAGAGGGCTCTGAGCCTAGTGGTTATGCAAGTACCAGACTGAGCCGCTGAAGCAAATGATCATTTTGATGTGCGCTCCCTTGATTACCATGGCAGACGGACAGCAGAGTGCCAATGGCAGACTGCTACCTCAAGCTTCCACCCAGAAGTGATATATCACAGCTGCTCACATTCGCCAAAGCATGTCATAAATCCACACAGAACTTCAAAGGAGGCAGAGACCTGCAATCTTACTCTTTGCCCAGAAAGAGGAGGAGATTTGTGAATGCCTTTAATGACTGTGAAAGAGAGCATTAATGGACTCTCTCTACAGTGAGTAGAAGAATCTATAAATCTATTTATTAAGCAGTCGTTTAGTTTATTTAATTATGCTGATTTATCAAATTAATAATGTGTGCTGGGCTTGTTTGTGGGCATAGCACTGTGTAATCCTACATGAAAAATGAATATGTACATTATACACACACACACACACACACACACACACACATATATAGTAATAAGATATTGCTTCTTTTTGTTTTTCCTGGCTGGATAAGGAAGAAAAGTTGAATGTGTCTTGCTCATGAATATATCATAATTATAATTCTATTTGGACAACTTACTATTGGCAGTCATTTTCTGCTTGTAAAAATGATCTGTTCAAATATATTAGGCATACCACCTTTGTCTCTAGAGTACAGTCTCCAGGGTGAAGTTCCCTGTCTTGTAATGTGGCTCAAGCTTATTTTACTACTTTCTAGACAAGGGAAGGAGGTGATACCCATAATCATCAAAATAAAATCTGGCTTAATTATGGCACTACTACCCCATTAGTCTGTGGAACTTCTTGCTAAGTCTGTTAAAACTCCTGAGGGAGAAGAGGATTGATGGCCTTCCCAAGTCAATGCTCTTATTCAAAGACATGGTAAGAGTAATAAAAAATAGCCACCACATAGTTTATACACATTTATCTCATTTACTTCTTATAACAAGGCTGTGAGGCCATCATTATTAGTAACCAATGGAAACTAAATATGAGCATAGCCCATCTGACTACAAAGCCAAACTTTAAACTACTATAACACTGAATCCCTTTTTTATCTGAATAAAGATTGATCATTGTATGAATAGCTCAAATAATATCATTATTATTCAATTCCCTAACATAAGAAATATTGCCAAAAACAAGGACTTTCCAATTACTTAAAACCCTCACAATATATGAGAAAAGAAAAGAACCACAGCATGTAGTTTATTTTTAACAAGGTTGTGTGTGTATGTGTGTCTTTTCTTCTTTCAATTTTCAGGTCGAATGATTTACACACTCACACTAATAATTTTGCTAGTAATTAATTCATGGAGAGCTAAGGCTTATAAAAAGCAAATAATTCTCTGAGAAAAGAGGCCACAAGAACAACACCATAAAAGACACAATAGAAGTCAAATCGCACCTCCTTTTTTCACTAGAAAGTAGTGACAGATTGTAGAATCAATGGACATTAGCATTTATGATCAAGTCCTCCTGTGTCAGAGAAAAAGAAACTGAGATTCATTGCAAATGAATCTCTAAATTTACTCAGCTGCCCTGTGGAAGAACAGCTTAATAAGTTTTCTCCAGCAGAAGTGAAGAGTCCCAGTGAGTATCAGCGGGTTGCTAGATGTTTGTGTAGACTGAATCATAAGACACTTTCAAAGAAGTGTTTCTTGGCCTAGCTGGAGCTGTGAGTTGATGAAAGAATACAAGCCTTTAGGGTCCTTCCACTGTATACCTCAGCTTCTTATGATTTCAAAAGAAGAATGATCGTATCTTTCCTGAATCACAAATATATATTTTCAACCAAGTACACTGGAGAACTGAGCACCAAAAGTGTTTTATCAACCCAGATGTGCTTGTAATGAATTAGAGAGAGCTCAAACCACCTATGGCTAAATGAAATTATGGACCTGCAATAGTTTTCTGACCCATATCCATCAAAATGTCAAAAGAATATTAGTAGACAGCAGGCATGCAACCTGGAAATAATAGGGCAACTATTAATCTCTTACACTGCTTGATTCTGCTTCAGGCTAATGAGACACAGATC